GGGGAGCAGGGCGCGGGCGGGACTCCGGGTGTCTCTCACGGCACCGGGGCAGGGCGGGGGCGAGCGGGGCTGAGCCCCCACGACCACCCTGGGCCAGCCCGGGCGAGGGCCGGGACGAGGGCTGGGGGCTGCCCGCTGACCCTGCCCTGCCCCCGGCGGGGACTTGCTGGAGCAGCTCGGGCGGCTCCCAGGCCGGAGATCTCCCGGGGAAGCCGCTGTGAGCTGGGCCAAGGTGCGGGCTGGAGCCCTGGCCTGCCTTCTGCACACGCTGTGACCCCTCCGTAAGCGTGGGAGGGTGCAGAGCCTTGCGCGCACGGCTCTGCTGCCTTACGGATCCAGAGCTGAGCTCGTCTGCTGCTCGGCCAGTTCCATTTGCAGGCAGGTACGTGGACTGGCAAAGTCTGTACTTGAAAACATGTTTGAGGCACAGGTGAATAACTTGAGGCAGGTATTGAGTCCAGTAGGAGGAGTCTTGAAAGAGCAGCTGGAAGAGTTTGTTCTTGAAAGGTCAAAGAATGGCTCAATTCAGGCTGCTGATGAATATTCTCACCTGTACCAAGGCGTGCCAGTCAAAGGTTGTCTCTAGGTCTCGCTGCCTCTGCGCTCTGCTGTTGGGGTAGTCCGGAGCAGCCTAACTCACATATGAAATTACTTGATTTAGTGCATCAGTATAAACCCTCTAAACAAACACAGTTCAGCTGGGGAGCCCTCGCACCCTCTGCTCAGTGTCGGTAATCTCTGCTGCTGCTCTGTTCTTCTCATCATTTGCGTTCAGATCGCCCTGAAGCAGCACAGTTTCGCCCACTTGTGTTAGCACCCATGCGAGAACCACACTGAACTGTTGCACGCTCCTTTGAAACAAAAGACCTGGCTGGCCACTGATCACCTTGGAGTCTAAGTACTCTTACCAGTTTTCTAGTACAGACTGAGCAGTATTTAATGTGTACATAGCTAAAAAAGCACACACAAGTCTGATAAATATTTGTTTTCTTCCATCAAGCTTGCAGTCCCTTTATTCAGACAGCCAGATGCTACGCCAGACCTGTGAGAAGAAAGAGGAAAGGTATGTCAGGATTAATGGGACCACGTGGCAAAATGTTTTACTGTTGACATCCTCAGAGTTGTACCCTAATGCCACAAGAAGACAGGGTATTTGGTGAAATTAGTGGGTTTCACTTTAAAGATGCAGAGCTCATCCCGAGAAGAGAGAGGAAACATAATCCCTGTTGCAGGACTCTGCAGTCCTGCAGCTTCTTGATGGGTAATTACAAGGGTGAGGGAGCCAGACTCTTCTTGGTAGTGCCAAACGATATAATGAGGGGCAGTAGTCCCAAACAGCAGCTCGGAGATGTTCCAGCTGGACAAAAAGAGAAAAAGGATTCACCAGGAAGGCAGTGCAGTGTGGGAATATGCTTCACCACGGAATATCCATCCTCAGAGGTTTTCAAGGCTCTGCTAGACAAAGAAATGATGACAGTCCTGCTTTAAAGGAGTGATTGGACTAGAAACTTCATAAGGTCCCTTTGTAAACCTTTTTGTGGTTCTGTGCTTCTGGAAATAATTCCTTGCAAGGTCAAAAGTTACTCAGAAAATTCAGCAGCTCGTGAATGTGTGGGAAATAGCAATTGTCCTTAGCAAGAGATCACTGATCTTGGTGTATTATACACCATGTTGTAAATCCAGGGTGCTGATGGCAAGAGACTGGACCGAATCTTATTCACTCAATTCCTGCCATCTCAGCATGAGCTCTTAAGTTCTTCCTTCTTGTTTGGAGCATACAGTCTATTTTCTCTGCAGCTTGTTTCCTCTGATCTAGTTTGCAAGCACGTTCAGAGCTCTGACTTTGTACTGCTCTTCCTCAAATGTTAATCTTCTCTTTGTAGACATCCCCAGCCATTTGGATGATCTTCCTCCCACAATGCTGAAGAAAGATTATGCCAACGTCCCAATAATAAATAGGTATGATCCAGGGAAAGA